GTCTCCGCTGAAATTTTAAACGTTGAACGAGGTGCGTTATCATGGGAAAGTTGACGAACAAGAACACATACTCAACCACAATCAGGTAGAATAGGAGATACTCAGTGAATTATGCCCGTGTTAGAATAGTATTTTGACGATTGAATTGTGTGTAATAACTGAAACATGTAGGTTTTTCAAGGTACTTCACCACCCCCCCCCCTCCACTTTAGAGATGAATGCCCAGAAACGCTCACCGTTTATTCATCAAAAGATGAGCTTTCATATCTTTAAATGCGTGAGGTAGGTATTTAAGTGTGTGTGTGTGGCTAGTGATAAATATGAATTTAATATTGTTTTTTCCGCCGTCGTTGCTCTCGTCAAAGGATCCCTTGTAATGCTTGACAGCGTTTCTCGGAGAAAATTTTAAATAATGAGAGCAAAAGAATAAGAGAAAAATCTTCAACGAGTGGTTTCCACGAATTTGGTTAGTCGAATATCGAGAAGTCGTCTTCTCTGTGTTTACCTTTGACTCTGTGCTCCCAGATTGACGGTTCCGAGACTCTTTCAATGTACTCAAAAAACAAACCCTGTCGTCACTCCGAGGGAGTTTAGTGCAGAGTTTTCAAACTCAAAACCAATGGGTAAACTTTAGTTACCAAGTTACTCACGTCAGAAACACGAATAGGATATCCGTAAATAACGTTCATGCCTGCATATTGTATCCACAAAAAGTTTAAGATGAGATTTCTTATGCATCGATAATGTGTTACCGTCAAAAGCCAAAATTCACGATTAGTCAAATTGCGATGCAATTAAAGCCCTTTAAACTTCAAAAAATTAATCTGCTATCAAAAAAATATACCATCCGCAAGAATCCTTAAGGTAAGAAATATGTCATTTTAGGCATATTATGAACTCTGATTTGTAACCAGTACTGACGCGGTCGACGGTTTTGCACGTAAACGAAGAATAATGATCAACTTCTCATTTTATACTGGAGTTTTTCTCGCTTGAAAAATTACTGCTTGCACTCATTGGTTTGCTTTATGCACTGCTGATTCCATCATAATGTTGTTGAGCCGATGTATTGTCTAATTACGGGTGACGTAAATTTTCTCGCATGTAAATTTCAACTCATTAATTTGTCTTTTGTCCAAGCGCAAAGTGCACTCATACCAATTAGTGATCCTTCATAAAATCATATGGGGTCAGATACCCCCGACCCCTAAGATTACCACAAGGCCCCCAGAGTATACCCTTTTTTTAATGGAATCTTTCCCCGCTTCCTTGTTTTGCCATTAGCTCACTTAGCGCACCTTCATGAAGAAAACTTGGACACTGGGTCGCATGAAGGCTCATGATCGAGTAAATGCACTCAACGATGTAAATAGAGTGAAATTCTCCTAATGAAAGAAAAAAATACCTCATTTTCTGTCATTTACAATCATCTGCATGGTACGCTCGTCATTATTTGGATCCCAGATACTCCCCTAAAGATTAATCTGGCTTAACAGAGCGGAGCCGCGTGCTGCCAGCGCGAGAGGCTCGCTGGCGCCTACAAACCTAAGTGGATACTTCACGCATTGCACAATGCTTGAAGTATCCACTTGGGTTTGAAGGCGGTGCTACTGAAGGAGCTTTGCGCAACTATTCCGCCACAGGAGTGTTACACAGTATCAGATTAAAATGAAGGCGCACTGTCGTTTGTAAACTAACTGGTATTGTTTACCATTGACTCACCTACTGATCTTACGCTATACGACTTCTGTCGATTGATTTTTGTGGAACTTTTGACCAGGTGGCACTTTTTGCCGGGAAACTTGAATTTCAACTTAAATTTTCAAAATTCGATAATCTAAGATACTTAAACTTTTACTTAAATTTACAGTTGAGTCCTTTTATCAGGTATTTTATTTATCAATATTTTAAAGCACCCTGACCTCACCGCATTTCACGCCGTGCCTGAGTCCATTGCACCACGTACAAAGAAAATAACGAAATCAGTAGGCTTTAATTTTATTTCCTCACACACATCTGATTATGTCCCCCAGTTCGCTGGGGTGAGTTAAAAAGCAAACAGGTAAAAGGAAATGAAAGAAGCGGGATTGTCGAAGGTCGTTCTCCTTATCTGGAGCGAGTTATTTTCATGAGGCCAACTGTTAGGTTTGTTCTTTGTCAGATGGATAGGAAAATGACGCGGATTGGATGTAATTCGGTGGGTTTTTTGGAAGGCGTGGCAGCATTTCAGGTGCGCTCCTAATCTACTCGGAAACGTCTGGAGTTGCGTGCAGACATTTTCGCTTATTTATTGATTAGCCACACGCGAGTTCAGTGTCAAAGACAAAACCTCTGCTCACTGCTGTCACTTGGTGGCGCAAAAAATCCCAAATCACACAACCGTTGACAAATATGAGATTCCAGTGGGTATTTACAGCTTCTCTTTCTGCAGTCGATTGGGTCAAAATCTTTATAGCATTTCCATGGGATTCCAATTTTCATAGTTCATTCATCGTTATTGAGGCTAGAATGAGTGGAAGAGAGTAAAAGAGAAAGTAAAGTGAATGAGAAATAAAAAATAAAATTGAATAAAAAACAAAGGCCGAGATAGCATTTTTTTATGCCGCATCCAAAATGCAATTTAGGAATTGATTACTTTAAAATATTGATAAATAAAATGTCTGATAAAAGGACTCAACTGTAAATTTAAGTAAAAGTTTAAGTATCTTAGATTATCGAATTTTGAAAATTTAAGTTGAAATTCAAGTTTCCCGGCAAAAAGTGCCACCTGGTCAAAAGTTTCACAAAAATCAATCGACAGAAGTCGTATAGCGTAAGATCAGTAGGTGAGTCAATGGTAAACAATACCAGTTAGTTTACAAACGACAGTGTGCCTTCATTTTAATCTGATACTGTGTAACACTCCTGTGGCGGAATAGTTGCGCAAAGCGCCTTCAGTAGCGCGTGAATTCCGCAATGCGTGAAGTATCCACTTAGGTTTGTAGGCGCCAGCGAGCCTTTCGCGCTGGCAGCACGCCGCTCCGCTCTGTTAGGCTTTGATATTTATACTCGCATAGTCAGCGATTTTTAACTCATGATTTTGAAATGTTTGTCCTCTGTGCATTGATTATTCTCATTTAAATTGATGGGAAAAAATATGTATCAATTTATCAAAGGAGAATAATAATATAATGTGTGTTTTTTTTTAAAATATTGGTGGTTCCGTGTCAAATTTAATGATTTCCAGAGCACGTTAATTTTTTTGTTTTACATTTTGTGCTTTTATTGTGCTGCAGCGAGGGGTACGCGCAACCAAACGGTCAAAATTTGACGTTATTCTGCTGGTAGCAGAATACCAAGCTATGAAGCTCGCTTGCTGCTATTCGAGAAAATACAATAGGAGCGGAAATTTTAAAACACCGTAATGGAGATACGTGGTTTCGCACACTAGTCATCGGTATTTAAACGTGTTTCTGCTAAATGCATCTATAGACGAGTGGGGAAGATGAGGTGTGCTCTAGACAGCCGATTAAAGAATCAATGTAAAAGTGGGTGAGCGATTCCTTGTGGGGAAATGGGAAAGCGGGATTTTACATTCTATCAAACGAAACTAAGTGCCAATTGAATGCGGCACTCATGGACCGTAGACATGTGACAACAGCGTTGTGGATAGGGCTCATGAGTTAAAGACGACCCCGGGTGACCGCGGCGGCGCTTTCATCGCCACTGACGTCACTGGAACTTACGGCCCTCGACCAACGAGCACACTTCTTCTTTCCCACCCGTCTCTGGTTCGATTTGACTGAAATACGTCTAGTTTACCTCCTTGATACTCATTTATAGCAAAAAAAACTTAAAATGATAATGAAAGAAGGCTAAACAACAAGGATAGAACACTTAAATAAAGAATAAAATCGCTAAAAATTTAAAAATCTCAAACTTTTCTTACTTCATTATTTGTCCGGACGACTTTTCGGAGGGTCCGCTAAAGTCGTACTATCGCCACCGAAGAGAAAGGCCAGTGGACCCTCCGGAACGTCGTCCGGACAAATAATTAAGTTAGGAAAGTTCGAGTTTTTTTAAAATTTTTAGCGATTTTATTCTTTATTTAACGAAACGTAACTTCATCATTTCAAATCGTCCAATTTTTCAATTTATACAATGTAAGTCAGTTGTGGAATGGGCTCATGTGTTAAAGACGACCCTGGGCGACCGCGGCGGCGCTGACATCACTGGCGCTTTATAATACCCATTCATTCTTACGGCCCTCGACTAAGGAGCACACACCTTCTTTTCCAGCTTCTCTGGTTCTGTTCAGCAGAAATACGTCCATATTAGCGACACAAATGGATGGACGAACAAGCATGTGAGTGAGAATATTCTAAGAAAAATATTAGCACGAACATTTTCTGAGCAAAGGTCGAGGCAAAGGCGGGAAGGTGAGGTCGGATTCTGAGCTGAAAAGTTGACTTGATGTTTCAGTGGCCCGCGGTGGCATTTGCGGGCGAGGAACTTTTTCCTAAAAGGGAGAAACTCAGCGGCGGACACACCACACAAGTTTTGTTTCAAAGGACGGCGCAGGGACAGGGACAGGGACACCTTTCCTGCTCCGTGCCCGGCGACCATGAAATAAAGGACACAGGCGCTCTCTATTTTGCCTCCTGTGTAACTAATAATTAAAGTTCAATTTGCGCTGTCTCTTGGCGCCGCTTGCAAAAGGAACTCAATCTGCGGCCAAAACGACTTCAAAAGCATGCGACTAACCTGTAATTTGCACCCTTAATTTCAGGGACTTTTCCCGGCAGTGACCGGAACCACCCTGTATGTCCGTTCGACCTTTGCCCCCTCGCCCTCACCGCGGGTCATCTTTTGAACTCCCTTTTGTTGCCATTGCCAAGTTGATGACCGCAATGTTCCATCATGCTATGCGCAATAATGGTCTCCTTTTTTTTTAACCGGCTGTCACGAGATATTGTATCCGCTTCTGGGATAATGTTATCGCCTATCTTTTAAAATTGCAGGGTCCGTCTATGCGCCTCAAGAAGAAGTGCAATGCGACATCGACCTCCTTAGCCTCTCCTCCGAGTAACAATTCTGTACAATTTCCATTGGAAACGTCCATGACCTGCTGTAAAGTATATATTTATTTAATTTTTAAAAGGCCAATTTGGATCGATAAAATGAACAATCAGTTTGCACAGTAAAATCATTTATGACCAAAATATTCAGGTATATTCGGGTGCCGGGCATTCAACCGTACCCGAATTGGTCGATTCGGGAAAATCAACCAATTTTCTCGAAAACACTTGATTTCTCGCATTAAAGGCAACGTCTGAAGGCTCATTCAGCCAAATTTCCTTCTATAAAATATGAATTTTGGATGAAAGTTATGAACATTATTCCTTGAAATTTTCAGACATTTTAGATTAAAGTGCGAACAAACTCCCCTCAAAGATCGAAGTAAAAATACTCGCAAATTTTCCCGCATTTCGTGTTTTGTCAAAGGATATTTAGCATCGGCTGAAGGTTCACCCGGTGTTATTCGTTATCACGGTAGAGTAGTACTGCCCCGCTATAGAAGAACGCCGTTTGGACGATCGAGAGTTGTCGAATTGCCCCGGACAAACAAGTATTTTTGAGGAAATTTGTGTACATTTTTTTTTGAAATTTTTACACGTCATAGATTAAATCCCAAAGAAAAATTTCGAAAAAATTTCGAAGAAAAGACAATTTTTCCAGTAAATTCGTTTATTGTTGGAAGAAATGTGACAACGCCCGATAGCTCATATGGCTTTTTACTTAGGACTGCAGAGGATCTTTTTGCATGAGGGTAATCACTAGCAACACCGCGAGTTAACACGAAGCAGACGTCTTGGGTAATCGAGAGGAAGGAGCGTCTTCGGGTTCGGCGGATGACGGTCGGGTCGGTCGGGAATGGCCGTTGTCAATGAGAAAATGCAAGATAGTCCCGGATCCTTTGCCGCCATTTAATTAGGAAGAGTGCTCGACGGTGTATCAACACTCTTCGTAGTTAGCGTATTTTCCCACCTTTTTCGCCGCGCCCTGCGCCCCCCCCCCCCCCCCCCCCGTCGCTGAATAAATATTTGCGTGCAGCGCCGCCGGGACCGCGCCTCTGTAATTTTCCATGCTCGGCCCGGTCCTCACAAATGGCTCGCGCTGGACGAAACTACTTTAATTATGGTCACCTAGGCTCCTCCTCCTCCTCCTCCTCCCGTGGACCCGGGTGACCGGGCCCAGAAGAAAAAGCTCACTTAACTGTATTAAAAGTTTCAGCGGCGCGACGACCCGCCCGCGGTCGGCGAGGTGAGCGCCTGTAACTGGAGTATACTCCCGTGTTAAGGGAAAACCCCGTATGAGCCTCCGGGTGTAGACAAATGTCCTCAAATAAAGCGAGAATTTCCTGGTAAAACTATGAATACTTTCCTCCCGATTTTCCAGATAATTTTGCTCGCAATGTAATATAAAATATCTGAAAATTTCAAGGAAACGTATTCATAACTTACGTCAAAAATAAACATGTTATCGAAGGAAATTTGGCAACTCTTGAATGTTTGTACTTCGTTCTTCCTCAGCACGACTAGAGTCCCTTTATACTGAGAGTCAAGACAATTTGAATCCATTTCTGATTGGTTCCCGTATTTTAGGCCTCCACAGTGTCACAAACGGGAATAAAGATTACATTTTCACCGATTGCAAAGATTATAATCTGGAATGGACCAGGGAATTACGGGTTCGGCAAGGAACGAACGGAATGAGAGGAGGAACGGAGAAAGGCATTTGAGAATGGGCCGATCAAAGATTACGAAAAACGTTCAATTTCTGTAATCTTTATTCCCGTTTATGACATCCATGAGCCGAATTGTCTTGACTCTCAGTATAAAGGGACTCTAAGCACGACAGTGTGGCCGCCTGTTTACCACAAATTTTCAAGGCCTCCAGGCTTGTGGCGTCAACAGTAAACTCGTCTGTGCGTAAGTGTCTAGTCTGCTCAGGGGGAGCTCATAGTTTTTCCTAATTTTTCATTCGTTTTAATTTCATTTGAATCAGGAGACTTTAGTTTCGTTTACTCCACGCAGATTAGTTTCACGAGCATGCTTTCATGATTAGTTGCTGTAAATCTAAACTCATTCCCTGATTTTATCATACGTTCGAAATGTTGTTGTCGTAAGTGGTAACTTAAAGTATGGTCGACAGTATTTCAGCTTGCACGACCAGCAAATTAGAGGACTTACACGGTCATCATTAGCTGTCTTCGACTTCCATTTGCAACGTGTGAAAACAGCATCATATCAAATGTTACCAAATCTTGATTGAATTTTCCCCGTTTTTTCAGAAATATGACAAAACCATGGTTTCTGACCCCTGCTTTTTGAAGAATATTTCCTTTTGGCAAACCAAATTGATCAAACGTTACTTCCAAGTAATATGATTAGATCTAAACCGTACGTCGAAAATAACGAAACCATTTCAAATGCAACGCCGTGGTGGATCCGTGTTCCCTCGCACGAGAAAAGACTGCGTTTCAACAGCCGCGTTATGAGATATTGTAAATATGTACAGGGAGCAAACGGCTTGCTTTATGAAGGACTGACAATAATTGCAAATTTTCTAAACTTCATAAGAAAAAACCGAAATGTCAACGTTACCCTCTTACAACACGGATATGTCGCACTGAGTATACATCTGCCTCGCTTAGGAAGAACCCCGCATGAACAATCGAGAGTTGCCAACTTTCCCTGGTAAAACATGTATTTTTGAGAAAAGTTACGCATATTTTTCATCAAAATTTTCAGATATCTAAAATCAACTTGCGAACAAAATTATGAGAAACATTGGAAGGAAAATATTCACAACTTTCCTGAAAAAATCGTCTTTCATCCGCGGAAATTGGCAACGTCTGTAGGTCCATACGGCGTTCTTCCTTAGCTCGGCATACATGGCCTCCGAAATAAATAATTCGTCTTTTCGCGGAAGTCCCGATCAAAACTTACCCGTCCAGAATCTCAAAGGACCCCTTCACGCCCCGGTGATTGCAGGCGCCTACGCTTGCAGTTGCCTCGCCGCACCAAAAATCCGCTTATTCAACACCAAAGAGACGCACGCTCGGCGCAATTTGGCAACCTTTCCCACGCTTCAAGACGCAGAACTGCCGCGCTATGGTAAGTGTATATCTGTAAGAGCCACAATTACCACGTGTTCTAAAGTGTTTCAAGGCTCATCCCAGAATGCACTTGGGGTTATTTTTTATAAAAAGGCAGAGAGGTGAGCAAACATACGCAATCGCCTGTTCTCCTTGGTTTTTATCGTTGCGCTCTCTCCCTCACCCCTTCCTCCTTCCCTCCCTCGGTGTTCCAATCTATGAGTTTCATATGTGTTTCCACCTGACTGTTCATCCCTGTCCTTCTTGCTTATTTCCCCTGAGCGCAGACTGCATCTCGCCCTCGCCTCGCCCCGAGCCCCAATCCCAAGATTCCTCTCGCCCTGCTCTCAGGGGTCACTGTTCTCTGGATTTTCTATCTGCGCCCGACAAGCGGGATTCGCCGTAAATGTGATTAGTGATTACTCTGCGGGTCACCGGCCACTCTTTATTTGGGTCCTCTCTGCTTTTATCTACTCCTCTACGTTGTTCCGTGTCAAACCGAAGCCTCGGTGGCACTAAGGACCAGTTCTATCAACTCTGGTCAAACTGTTATTGGAATTCATAGACAAAGCTATAGACAAATAAGCCAAAAATAGATACAAATTTTTAAGAGCAGCCCAAGACAATGATAACGGTGGAAAAACAAGGATGAATAACGGGAAACAAGGCTAAAAATACAGGAAAAAATAAAAATTTAAAAGAAAAAACGATAAAAAAAAACCTGAGCCCTACATAGTGGTGGCCGGGATCTGAGAGAAAGCAAAATAAGCCAAAAGATATATGGAGGGATCCTATTGGTGAAAGTGGGTGGTTGCGAAGGAGATAGGTAATAGACTAACTAACGACAACTCACGAGAGACCCTTTAATTAGTCCATCATTTTCTCCCTTTGTCTAAAGGAACCAACCATTTCAATCAATAGAATCGCTCTACACACCCTATGTCTTCTTTGTCTATATCTCCATCAATTTCAATGATCAGCCCGCTGCTGGTTACATTTGACGAGAGGCTAAACACCAAAGTAGCGTTTTATCACCTCTTGTTACCACAAAGTCCACGTCAGATGTAGCTCTACAGTAGAGACAAGAGAGCCTCCACTATCATCCTGGCGATGGTGAAAACTTTTACTTTCGGGACTTCACTATTCAACTGTTGACCTTACTTGGTCGATGGTTAACGGCGTGTTGGCAGTTTCGTCTCGCAAACAAACCAAAGTTTAGGAAACTTCTCGTCACCCGAAGCTCATCATTCATTGTGTAGATATGGTCAACAGCCGAAATTAGGGTGATGACTGTTGCTCCCTTATTATTGTCCGTAAGAAATTCTTGAATCCCTGAAAATAAAAGCTTTCACCCGTCGCCAAGAAGTCAGTGGAGGGTATCTTGTCTCTGCTCTAGGCGGAAAATTTGAAAAATATTTAACAGGTACTTTGACCTCCTGTCAAATGCTTTAACCAGAGGTTAAATTTAAATCATGGTCTCTTATTGGTTGCTGTCGCAGTCCCCTGTAAAAATTCCGTCAATTCCTTGTTTTCGCTGTGTCCCTCTCATAAGAGTTTATGACATATCGCGACACCTGACGGACCTGCTTTACAACCGATTTTTGCATGGAGTATGTCGAAGTTTTAGAGGTGACGAGCCCATAGTTGACGACATTCTGTCACTGTTTTCAAGACAATAGTACAATTTTAACCAGAGGATAAATGTGACTGACAAGAGGTGATAGAAATAGCTCTTTTTTGACAAGAGAAGAAACGCTTATCCTCCGGCTACGTAGCGAACAGATTTGCCCGGAGGTGATAGAACCGGCCCAAAGCAGCAGAAAGTCTACATTTATAGTGCATCTATAGGCTCATTTGCTTTGATTTATTTTTGTTTTCGCTCTCCCTCCCCCTTTCCACCACTCTCCCTCCCTCTCTCTCTATTTCAACCCTCTATTTTCCTCTCGGTGTTAAAACTAAATTTTGTTCA